CTGTTGAGTTGAGAAAAACCTTGAAGGTATCACATAGCAGGACACTGCTCAGGCCTTCCTTTCCTGGAGCGGTGTGAATATTCCCTTGACCCCACTCAGATTCTTTGTCTATTGTCTGAGCACTCAGCTGTGTGACCGAAGCAAATTCCCTAACTCCTCTGAGACTTGGTGACGCCTTGATAAAAGCCTGCTTCGTCGTGCTCAGGACCGTTGTCACTGAAGTGTTCAGGAGGCAGATGCCCTGCTGGTGAGTTCCTCCGGGCCCTACCCAAGGAAGTGAGGAAGAAACAGGCCCATATTACAGCAAGCACTGCCTAAATTAGCTGTAAACAAAGACAAACATGAACAAACTTAAACAAATGGCATCATACAGGTTGTGGCATTTTAGATCCTGGAATATCAGGAAAGAGGTGAATGCATCTTGCGCTCTCCAAGGGCACAGCTGGATGCAAAGGATGAGACTCTAAACCCAAACTCGGCATCTAAAGCAGGACAACAAGGCAAGCTGTTCTCTGCGATTCACACGGCATTCACTGTGGAAGGGCCCACTCTCTCCACCACGCTGAAAAGGAAGAGTTAATGATGGTGGCATTGGCCCAGCCAAAGACCAGGCTCATCAGGGGACACCTGGGTGGCCCTACAGACACCCCCATGCTGCATTAACTCTTTAAAACCAATCGTGAGAGCCAGGCATGGTGGCACACGCCTGTAATCCTAGCACTTGGGAGGCTGAGGCTGGAGGATCACTGTGAGTTCAAAACCAGCCTGGACTACAACGTGAGCTCAAGGCCAGCCTGAACTGCATAGCAAGACCTTGCCCCAAAAAGACAAAAATAAATAAATAAATAAATAAATAAATAAAACCATGAGTCTAGGCATGGCGGCACACGCATGTATTCCCCACACTTAGAAGGCTGAGGCAGGAGGATCATTGTGAGTTCAAGGCCAGTCTGGGCTATGAAGTAAGCACAAGGCCAGGCTGAACTGCATCGTGAGTTCGGTTCCCGGTACAAAAGACAAAAAAAAAAAAAAAAAAAAAAAAAAAAAAAAAGACAAAAACAACTAACCATGACCCCTGAAGAGTCAGAGCAGCCCAGCCAAGGTCACCAACTGACACAGGACAGTTACTGGAGGATAAACTTGCCCCATACCTGCACCGAGCACCTCTTTTAATAACCAGTTTTATTGTTTAAGGCTAAGGAAGAAAACCCTGCAGACAGAGGAGCCTACATCCCTGTGGAATTCAACTGGCTGCTGCTTCTACTTAGGAAATTAGAAATATACAGAGCACATATTGTTTCCCTCGGACGAGGGGCAAGCTGCTAACCAGACTCCTCCCGGGATGGCCGCAAGTCTCCAGCCAAATTAAAGTCCAGACACGCGTGCGGGAATTGAAAAGTTCACATGTCTAGGGCCTCAAACTGAAAAAGGAGAAAAACAAACACCCCCCAAAAAGGACGGAAAAGCAAAGCGTTTGTGTGAGCTGTCAGAGCCCGACCTGGTATCGCAGCCAGGCCAGCGGCCTTTTGAGTCCCTCAGATCTGTAGTCAACTCTACCCCCTTCTGAGTAGTTGTCATCTTGCCTTTCCTTAATTAATCTTTCTTTCTTTTTTTCTTTCTTTTTGTTTTTCCAGTCCTGGGGATTAAATCCAGTGCCTGAGCTACATCCCTAGCTCCTTTTTTGTTTGTCTTTGTTTTGCTGTTTTGCTTTTGATATAGGTTCTTGCTAAATTATGCAGGGTGGGCTTAAACAAAGATTCTCCTGCCTCAGCCTCCCACAGTGCTGGAATTATAGGTATGCTCCACCATGCCTGGCTTACTTAAACTTCTTTTGCCATTAACTTCTTTATAAAATCTAGCGATTCCTACTTTTTGGGAACTTTGTGAAGATTACATAAGAGAGAATGCTATTAGTAGAGTCTTGACAAATAGTGGTACTTCAATAAACAGCCATGGGTACTTTTACTTAACTTTATTTCACAGAAGAAATGGCTCTGTATGTTTACATTAAAACACTTGATAATTGTCTCGCAATACAAATAGCAAGTAGATTATAATCAAAGAAACAACACAGCATGCACTGTGTGCAGCTTCTAATTCCGTGCTACCATTTGGTTTAGAATTCAACATTTTCATCTTTATGTTATGCCCAGTGCAGAAATGCCTCAAGTTTATTTACCAACTAGACACTAATGTGCATTCTCGGGGAAATTACCCTCACCAGGATCCAACTATGGTTGTAAAACTTTAAATAACAAATCACTCAATGAAAAAGAAAAAATTTTTTTTGCTTTTAAATAAAGATGAGGATGAGCTGGGCATGGTGGTGCACGCCTGTAATCTCAGCACTCGGGAGGCCGAGGCAGGAGGATCATTTCGAGTTCAAGACCAGCCTGAAATGCGTAGTGAGACCCTGTCTCAAAAAGACAAAAAAATAAAAAATAAATAAAGATGAGGAGCCTGACATGGCGGCGCTCGTCTGTAATCCCAACACTCCAGAGGCTGAGGCAGGAGGATCCTGTGAGTTTGAGACCAGCCTGGGCTACAGAGTGAATTTAAGGCCAGCCTGAACCTCAGAGCGAGACCTTGTCTCAAAAAAAAAAAATAAGTAAATAAATAAATAAACAAAAAATAAAGATAAGGATAGTGGAGTTCCTAAAATGAGTCGGCCTGATTCGGGCCCTGCTCCCTTCCACGCCTCGCTGTGTGCAGGGTCCACCTGTCTCCACTCACCTTAACCGGAACCGAGTCTGTCAACGCCTAGAAGGGGCTGGAGGTGATGGATGACACCTGCGCGCCAAGGCGAGGGCTACTGCGCCACTGCTCCCCACCGGCCGACCTCGCCTCCGGACTAACGCCGAAAGGGAGAGGCCGGCCCCTGCAGGCGGGAGCGCACCGGGGACGGCGGCCCAGGCGGGACCGCGGGGCTGGGGGGCGCGGCTGTGCCTGCGGCGCCCTGCGGGGCGCGCGTGGAGCGGGAGCTGCGCCCCGTGTCGGGCGCAGTGGGGCGTGTGCCCCGCTTGGAGCAGAAGCCCGAACGCGCAGCCGAGCGCAACCCTCCCCGAGTTCTTCTCCAGAGCCACCCGCAAGCTCCGGGAGCACAGGAGAAAAAACTAGAGGCCTGAGGGCTCGGTGTTGCCGCAAAGCCCGGCCCATCAGACCTGCTCTCATCCCAGGTCACCGCATGCTGACCGCCAAGGAGGACGTGGGAGGCTATGCCTCCCTCAGCCAGGCTTGCTCTGCCTCCTAACGAGACCCGCGAAAGTCAGATGGAGGCTGGTGCTCGGCTGGGACGGCGCTGCCTGCTGTGTTACGCCCGGCACCTGTAGAAAATATTACTATAAGCAGGGCGTGGTGGCGCGCACCTGCAGTCACAACTGCAGGGAGGGAGGCTGAGGCAGGATTGCAAGTGTGAGTCCTGTCTACGCAATTTAGTGAGACCCTGTTTCAAAATAAACAGATAAGAAGAACTGGGAATGTAGCTCAGTGATAGGGCACCCCTGGGTTCAATCTCCAGTACCATTGAAAGCTGCTTGGAGGTCGGGGATATAGCTCAGCGGTACAAGCACCTGCCTGGCAAGCGCAAGGTTCCGAGTTCGATTCCCGGTGCCAAAAAACAAAACAAAACAAATAAAAGAAAGAAAGAAAGAAAAAGGGGCTGTGGAGAAATAGGAACTCTTCTCCACTGCTGGTGGGAATGCAGACTGGTGAAACCACTGTGGAAATCAGTTTGGAGACGCCTCAGCAAGCTAGGTCTAGAGGTCCCATTCAACTGAGCTATTCCCCTTCTGGGTATTTTCCCAGAAGATCTGAAAACGTCATATCGCAGTGATATATGTGCACCCATGTTCATAGCAGTGCAATTTGTAATTGCTAAGTTGTGGAAGCAACCCAAATGTCCATCCACTGAGGATTGGATAAAAAAATTGTAGTACTTTTATATAATGGAATATTACTCAGCTATAAAGAAAGATAAACTCGAGGCTTTTATAGGTAAATGGTCACAACTAGAGACCATACTCATAAGCAAAATAAATCAGACATGCATGTGCAAGCATCATATTGTCTCACTAGTGTAAGACCTGAAAGTGAAGAAAAACTAGGAGGTATGACAGACACTGTGAAACAAAAGGAAAATGCTCAAGAGTAAAGGGCAACTGGGGTGTGGGAAAAGAAAAAGGAAAGAAGGGGAAATTATGTACATATGTATATACAGGATAGTTAACATAGTTGTACTACTGTCTTCTGTTGCTCTACAGAAAGGAATAATTAATGATTACTTGTTTGATCAATCTTACATGTCTCTATTTGTTTTCCTGAGAAACCACTTTGAAGTTATCAATAAGTAATACAACAACTCCTACAACTTTGTCTGTAACTCTGTTCCATTTGTATTATTCTTATGCTATTTTGTAAATGGATGTCTGTCTGTTAATATGTTTTCCTTCTTTTATTTTTTAAAATAAAAATAAATAAATAAAAAGAAAGCTGGCATCGAACTCAATATATAGCCCAGACTGGTGTCGAACTCATGGAGATCCTCCTATCTCAGCTTCCCAAGTGCTGGAATTATAGACCTGCAGCACCCAGCTCAGTTGAAAACTTTTCTTCACTAACTCATAATAACCAAGTCTTGGAAGTGACCTATATGTACATCAACAGATCAGCAGATAAAGACAATGTGTTTCTACACAACAAAGTACTACTCTGCCATAAAAAAGGATAAACGACTCATTTGTAAGAAAATGGATACATCTTGAGGCCATAATGTTAAGTGAAATTAATCAACCACACAGGCTTAAATGTCACACATTTTCTCTTATATGAGAAACCCAAAATATAAGTAAACAGCAAAATAAAAGGTAATAGGAAGCAGAGAGGTCTTTTGCAAAAAGGAAGTGAAGGATCTAGAGATGGAGAGGAAGGAGGGGAGGGTGCGGTTTGTCCAGGCCCCAGCTGCCCACAGTGAACACATTCATTGCATACTGCAAACACAGACTAATAATTTTTTTAATTTTTAAAACAACATAGAACAACATTAGGGAACATATCACTGATTTTGGTAATGTCTTCATGGCTAGCTTGTTTTCTGTTGCTACGACTGAATTCCTGAGACTCAGTAACCCCGACAAATGAAGAATTTTATTTGCTCCTGGCTCTAAGAGTGGGCCGTCCGAGAAAGGGCTCCTCCGCACCTGCTGGGCTCCCACTGACTAAACAAAGGTTAGGGTTTCTAGCACTTGCCCCTCCTGTGCCTGAGAGGAGGGCTCCTCCCTCACCCATAGCCTCCAGGGCAGGGACAGAGGCATTCACCCCGCCCCTCCAGCCGTCCTCTCCTGAGAGCCCCTCCTGACACCCCTGACACCGGCGCTCAAACTCCAATATGAGGTTTAGGGTGCGGACCCACGTTTACACCACGTTACGCGCCTTTAGGACGTGTTCCAGTGTTTGATTGAGAAATGTGGGCTCGCCTTGGGGAATCTAACTTTTTTGCATCCTGTCTTCTGCCTGAAATGGGCACTCGATTCCTGCCGCAGCCTCCTTAGGGATGGGGTCACCGTCCGTGAAAAGCCTCCTACACACAGGCAGTGGTGAAATACTTTTAGTATTTTCTTTAACTGTGATTCTGAAATTTTTGAAAGTTAGACTTTAGAAATCAAGTGGAAAAAAATAAGAATCAGTTAGCTCTTTTCAATGTTGAAGGTTCTTGGAACGAGGCGAAGGTTCTTGGAAGGAGTCAAAGGTTTTTTCCTTTTGTCTTTGTCTTTATTTTTGATACCGGGAACGGAACTCGGGACCTTGCGCTTGTGCCACTGAGCTACATCCCCGGCGCAAAGGTTCTTTTTCATTCAATCCAACTTTTCCTGTTAAAGCTTTCAAAATAACGATGAGATTCTAATTAGCAAAACAAGTCTGAACTGGAGGAGTCACCCTGTGGGCACATGGGCCCCTCCGCAGAGCTCATGGCCGCAGACATTACTGTCCCACCTGGAGCTGTGCCCTCCCGGCCCTGCTTAAATCCTCCGGGCCATCCGGTTCTTACCGAGGCTCCCAGCCTCCCGCAACTGCATCCACCCCACTGCACCGCCGCTCCGCCCAGGCTGGGTCCCTGACGCGCACCTCCGGGGCTCTCCGCAGCTGCCCCCTCCCCCGGGCCCTTCCCACCAACCACTCTCCACCCCGGAGCGCCCTCCCCAAGTTCTTCCCTAGCTCACCCTAGGCGCGCGCTCCTCGGAACGTGCCTTCTCTCGTCTTCTCTAGACTTGTGCTTTGTATTTTGGCTTCCTTTTCTGTAATTATGGAAATAAAAGCAGGCTTTCTTTGAAGAATGAATACAGTGAAATATGAGAAATGAAGTATGGAAAATACGGTGAATATTTACATATTTTTAAATACATTACTTTATTGTAATAAATAAACTCTCCTGAGGGGCTTTAGCTGCACTCTCATGGCTGCCTCGACGTCCTGAGTTGATTCAAAACCTTTACCCTTCATGGTCATTTTGCCTTTGGGAAAGAGCCAGAAGTTGCATGAAGCCAGATCTAGTGAATAAGGCCGATGAGGACACCTGCAATGCCTGCCTGTCCATTAGAGGGCCCTCGGTAGCAATAGCCACCATATTATGTATTGTACCTTGTAAAGACTCTTATGAAAGAGGACTCCCAGAACTGAGTTAGCAAGTGCAAAAATAGTGGGATACATGTGCTCAAAGCAAAGGGGAGTATTCTGAGGGGAACTGATGGCAATGTGTCTCTTACCATAATAAATTTTTAATGTAAAGATTCCCCATATATTTTGATCACGCCTTCCTATAACATGTGCAGCCACTTAAAACAGTGCTGGGACCATGTCGTAAGAGTTAATAAATCATTATTGCACCTTTAACTTTCTTTTGTGGCTTTTTCCACAGTTTTAAATACTGATTTGTGTGTATTTGCTCTCCCCCGGACTGTGGGCTCCATAATGCCCGTTTTGAGTACTACTGTAGAGCCAAGGCCTGGCACAGTTCCTGGTATCAATATATATTAATTGAATGGATTCATCCAGTGAGGATGCTCTTGGCCATGGAAATTATACACAGTAGAGAACTGTGTCAAGTAATCAGAGGGTGGATCTAAAGGCCCTAAGACGCTAATGTGAAAAGCTTCTCGGCCTTTTGGCTAAGATCAAGTGTAATACCTAAGACGCGAATGTGGAAGGCCTGGGGTGTGGTCCCACACTGCAGTACTTGTGGAACATCTTGGTTATGTTCTCATTGCTGGGACATGGTACCTGACACCCATCACTTACAGGAGGAGAAGGTTGTTTCGGCTCATGGTTTCAGTCCAAGGTCAGCTGACTCCAAGGCAGGGCAGCATGGCAGAGGGGCCTGGAGAAGGAGAAACCGTCCATGGCAGGGCTGCGGGAAGCAGAGCAGAATCTAGGGAGAAGGAAGGATTCTTCCTTCCAGGCCACGCCCCCAGCTACCCACCTCTCCCTACTGGGCTTCACTTCCCCACACCGCACCCAGCTAGAAACCCACTAGTATCACACACCCGTGATCCAGCCACCTCCCGAGAGCCCCAGCTATGAGTGCATTGGGGGATGTCTAGACACAGCTGTAACACCGAGCATGTGACTGTGCGTGAGGTCCCAGGTTTCATGCCCAGTACTATAAAAACAAAACGCTAATGCACAAATACATTCGAACAGCTTTTTTTTTTTTTTTCCTTTCTGTACTGGGGATTGAGCCCAGGGCCTTCACACTGAGCCATGCATGGCCCAACTTCTTGCTACCGACCTTTGTAGCCCCACCCTGCCTTTCAGCCTCTCCCTCATTCCCTTTCATCCCTTTGTGTCTCCGAATCTGTATCTGGGGTTTTCCATGTTCCTCCGTGCTCTTTACCACCCACATGTGATGTCTGGTACTTGCATACACCGGAAGTGCTCAGCACATTTTGTTGAATAAGTTCTAGGAGGGCGGGAGGGAGTAAGGGATGGATAGATGGATGGATGGATGGATGGATGGATGGATAATGAGGCAAATGAGAGAATGGAGAGGCTATACCCCGCTCCTTAGCATGCAGGAAATTTTTCTTGTGATTTCAAAGATCCTCCCCCAAATCTCTACGCAGTGAAAGCAGAAATGGTCCCTTTCCTTGAAGTTCATTTAAAACCCAAAGCTGAATCAGGCTTGATGGGCCCGTGACACCCGAGGCTGGTGGGGTGGCTTCTCCATGACTCCTAATATCCAGCCACGAGGTGGAATTACTTCATTCTTCAGAGTAAAGTTCGGGGAGTTTCTCCCTCTCTGAACAGCAAGCGCACGCAGCAAAGACATTCTGCTTCTATAAATATGCTTTTCTAAATGTTAAAGGGTTAGAGCAATTTCCAAAGGTCTCTGCCTCAAAGGAGCCCTCAGATGATATTTAATTGAACTACTTTTGCTTTGAGAAGTGAGAAAACTAAAATGTAAGAAGTGGAAATGCTTCTTGGTTTTATGTCAAAATATAGGCTTCTCGATAAAATAATGGAAAGCGATTTTTCTGTTATTAAACTCGGAAAAAGCATAAACAGCTCAACCAAGAAGAGACAAGCTAGGATGTTGCAGGGCGGATGGAGCAAATACATTTCCTTTTAAACTCCAGCTTCAAACCCTTAACAACTTTTGGAGGCGCTTTTGTTGATTAATAATCACTAGAAATCTCTCTCCCTCCTTTGGCATTGAAAATGGAACATTAAATATAAACATGCCTGCCACAAGTTTAAATATTAACTTCTGTCGTAATAGCCCCACTGTGCTTTCTGAGCAAACGCCTCTGAAGAGAGGAAACGATTTTGCAAGGGTTGTAAGGAAAGAGAACGTCGCAGAGGTGCAGACTCTGAAAGTGAGCAAATGATCGGTGTGTCATTTCTTATCTGTGGGAACGTCCGAATGAAAATTGGCATACTTTCAACCCGAGTCACATCAAGGAGCCCGCAATTAAATCCCTGCTCCTGTTCGATGTACTCAGAATGCGGGTGTACTTCACAATCTGACATGAGGTTCTCCGGAGACAAAGAGGTCGGCGTGCTGCCCGCTCAGCATCCACGGAAGGCGAAGGAGAGAAGGCAAAGGCGCGAGTGAACCGCATTCCGAGGCCGCGCGGGCTCTGCCGTCCCCATGGATACCATTCCTTTAGACCTCAGTGCGGATGGCGCCCTCTAGCGTTGCGCAGTGAACAACCTGCGTGTCTGTCCTTGGCCTCTGCCGCTGTTTGTTAGGGTCCCTTGAGGGAAGTAGCTTTCCAGTTCGAGGGGAAACCAACCAAAGAAAGGCAGGACCCCATTATGGTAGCCAAGAGGTATTGGTGTTTCGTGTCCCCGTACTCCTCAGATCGGACCCAGGTTTAAAGTAAGACAAGCCAGGGCTCTTGCCCAGGACCCTGAATATTAAGGTATGACACAAATTGCAGACACAATGGAGACCATCAAAGACAGAGGCTGTTGGCAGGGCATATAGCTCAGTGGCACAGCACCTACCTGGCAAGTGCGAGGTCCTGAGTTCGATTCCCAGTAGAATAAAAAAATTAAAAAGACAGCAGCTATGGCATCAGCAGTCCAGCAGTGGCGGGGTGGGGCAGGCAGCCACTTGTCCCTGCTCCCGGGTGCCTGGATGGGGAGGATCCGGGCCCAGTCCGCAATGGGCTAAGCTCATACAGTACCCAGCGGGTGCTGGCAAAGCTGGGGCCGCAGCAGCCTCTGCGCAGTCTCTTCCAGGGTCTGAAGCTGCATCCCAGCTCCACCGCCTCCCTGGTCCCTGTCCTCCCTGTGAGTCTCCAGCGCCCCTCTGACCTGTCTGTCTTCTGTTAAGCTTGCAGGAGCTGTAATTAATGTCTGTGCTTCTATCCTCTGCCCAGCCGTGCCCCGGCTGCAAACCCATCCTTTCTGGCCAGCTAACCCCACACCCCTGGTCACCTAAAGGCCTCCAGCCAAGGCCACGGGGCAAGGATGTGGGTGGAGAGCCCTGATAGGAAACCCAGGAGGGCTTCTCGGCCTGCTCCCTGCCCTCTTCTACTGCAGGGCCTGGCCCCTGCATGACCACAACATCCAGCACCTGACACTTTAAGGACACAAGCTAGCTTTTGTCACGGCAGGTGTCTTCCAGCACCTCTAGAAAGGGTCTCAGGACCCGCTTCTCTGCACAGGTGCAGGCTGTCTGTATCCAGACCGCATCCGTGGAGAGATGGCTGTCAATTACAATTCCCCCTCACCCCGGAGATATGTCCACAGCCCTGGGAAGGTGGGGGAGACGAGGTGCCAGGCACCAACATCAGCTCTGCGACCCATCCCTAGGATGGAAGCCTGGGTTGGAAGCCTGAACGGGCAGCTCAGCAGAAGCCTTCCAGGACTGGTGCCCCCAGTGCCTCAGCAGGTGTGACTTGCACTGGCTCTGGCGTAATGCTGGAGCAGGGATCTCCCTCCGGGTCCTGCGTGGCCGAGCACTTGTCAGTAGGAGGCTCTGGAGTGCCCTGTCGTCTCCCTGTGGGGCTGATGAGCTGCACAGGACTGTGGAAGAGAAACTGCCAGCCATCAACTCAGGTTCCGCCCGTGGCCCCACTGGGGAGCAATGACATCACAGTCCTCCTGGTTTCCATGGCAGGAAAGCTGCTCACATGTGAGGAAAATATCCTCCAAGGTCTCTGCTGGACACCGACCTGTTAGAAGGCATCCGATCAGATGTCTCTATGCAGTCTAACTCGTCGTCGTCTGTGCCCCGGGGTGTGGGGTGCAGCACGGAAGCCTGGGCTGCGCCTCTCCACGAGAGCCTTCTGTGTGCGCACAGCCTCACGGGCCACAAAGTGTTCCTGTGATGCTTGCCCACATGTCTCCAAATTTCCCCATTCGTGAGTAGGACGGACGTCCCATGAAATCGGGATCCCACGGTTTCCTGCTCAGTGATGAGCAGGGCGGGTGATGTGTGGGGTGTGTTGTTCAAGGTCCCCTTGCTGATGATGGCAGCTTCCCTAAGGCCCACTGTCTCACCGGCACCATTTACGTGGGCACCACACCGCGGCACCGCAGTGTGGCCAGGGCTGCATGAAAGAGGGTAACCACACTGTGCCAAGAACTCTGGGACACTTGGCGAAAAGGAGTTGTGCTTTCATATTTTCATTCTGGCCCAGAAGCGTAACCTTCATTTATGAAATCTGAAGAACAATGTTGAGAGACACTGTGAATACTTCGGAAGTGTATTATTAAGCATCCTCGGTGGTGACAGAGTGAAACACCATGGATCACGAGGGTGGCAGTGACCTGGCCAGGTGCTGCCACATCGTCCCTCCTTCTCCTGGAATGAAAAGCAGCTTGTCCTCCAAAGGCAGCCGTGATGGAGACAAGCGTCTCACCCGAGCAGTCGCTTCAGGGACTCACTGCATCTCACTCAGAGCAAGGATTGAAAACACGTCCTCCTCCTTTTAGTTATTAAGCACATGTTTTTAGTGAAAACGTACAAAACTTCATTAGGAATAGAACCCCCACAGTGTCCTAACACACTGAGTGGGAAATTTTGGCTCCAGTTTACAGATCTAGAAATAGAGGCCTAGAAAGAGAACCACAGAAGCCACCACCTTGGGGATGTAGCGCAGTGGTAGAGTTTGCCTAACACGTACTGGGCCCTGGGTTCCGTCCCCACTGTGGCAAGCAAGCAGAAAGGAAAGAAAAGGGATAAAGAGGAAAGAGGGAAGGAAGGAAGGAAGAGAGGGAGAGAGGGAGGGAGACAGAGAGAGAGAAAGTCCTTGCCGCTGAGCTTCAACTAGTGAACTACCATGTCGCTATAATTCAGGATCTGCAAACTTTTGCTAACAAGAGCGGGGGATACAGTTACAACTACCCAGCCCCACCACTGCAGTGAAAGCAGCCCAAGACACTAAGTTAGCAGGTGAGGGTATATGTGTCCAGTGAAACTTGATTTGAAAAATCAGGCTTCGGGCCTAGTTTGGCCCACGGACCATACTTTGCCCACTCTGTAGTTGATCTGAGTGCACGACTGCTAACCTCTGACACCTGCAGATCACAGATCCTTTAAACTCGGCCTTGAACATCTTTCAATGATAACAAACCCAGCTCTCAAGTCCAGATGTGGTGATTATCGCAGTAAGAGGCAACATCCCCCATTTTTCATGGACTGTTACAGGGGGGTAACCCTCTGTGACACAGCCACACTGTCAAGACCATCTTCACTTCTCACAAGGACAAACCCTCCCCGGCTCCTCTCCTGGGTCCCTCCCCATAGCCTGTATCACATTGCAATTCGATCTGCAAAATCAGTATGCAACATCTCATCTCCCACGCACGCATCTTGCCTGAAAAACCAGGCGGCAGTCTGGGAGTGACAACATGAGAATAACTTGTCATTCTGGTAATGGTCTAACTGCATATAAGTGTCTGTCATAATGAAAATTGGTCTCTTCCATTTCAATTTATTTTGTCAACAACCCAAATGAAGCCTGAATATATCTTCCAACACCACTGCACACAGATCAAATAAGAAAGAGAACTTTAAAATGATCCTCATCATCATACGACTAAATATTTACATTAAAAAAGGTTCTCTCTTCTGGAAAACATCCCAACTCTACTAGCCTCCCCTGCCAGTACACCTGCAGCTTTTTGTAACTAATTAAGGAGCTCCAGAAAACACATTTAAAAGGGCCTCAGCAAACAGATGCACACTCCATTAATTAAACAAGCTGGAGCAATCACCCAGGCTGTAATTGGGAAATGTGCTTCTTTCCTCCATTTTAAGACAATCATAGTTATTTGCAAATGCTTTTTGATGGTTTCTCCAAAGACAAAGTGGGCTAGCAGCAGGCTCTGGCTTCCTCTGGCAGGGGGGCAGATGTTTGGGAAAGGTTGAAAGTGTGAGGCAGAGTCATTCAGGTTCTCTAATGAGCTCCTCGGCCCCTTCCTCTCCCTCCAGAAGACCGTGCTAATGAGAAGAGGAAGTTTAAGTGCTAAAAAAAAAAAGGGAGCCTGTTTGTGCTACGAAAGGCACAAAGATGGCTCCATGCAGTGCACTCTTTGGGGCCCTAATCGGGTGTGCAGTGGTCCAGGGGTGGGTAGAGGTAGCCAGCCACCGAGTGCCCTGCCCCTGCCCTTAGCTGAGTGTGCACTGTCTGCAGAGCCGTGCCGCATCTGCAAGATGGGACAGAGGTCATTGGAGGGCGAGCAAAGAATAACTGGTGAGGAGTCATCCTGCGCTCTTGTGCTTAGGCTCCAGGCATGGTTTCAGGAGAACCTCTGTATGAAGTGAAACTCCTTTATGGGAGGCCGTCCTCGTACTTCAGCTTCCCAATCAGGGCTAAGAGACGCCGCGAGGTCCAGAGGCCAGGGTTTAGGTTCTTATGCTGCTGCTTCTCAACAACAGCTCCACCCTCCACACTCTCCCCTGTGAAGTCAGGCTGGGGCTGAGACCCTACAAAATGATTTCTCCTTTTGCCAGTGGCTTCCTGTGACGTGACACAACAGGACACTAGAGGGACACTGGGAACCTGGAGGAGGGAGAGACCCGTCTCCACTATTCCGTTGCTTCCTGTTGGCCTCACCCCAGGGATGGCCTTTCCCTGCAGCAGCAATAGCTGCTACCCTGGTCCAGCTTCCTCCTACACACCCTGAAGCAACCTCACTCATCGTCTTCCCCCACCCAGGGGGGCTGCACGTCCTTCTCAGAGTCCTGACTCCTGGTTCCACAGAGCTCCTCTGCAGGAATGTGGGTTCCAGCAGCCCTGCTTTCTGAGTTTGTTGCTCAAGCCCTAACAGTAATGTGTGCTTTCTGCACTTAATCCTTTCATTACTTCAGCCTCCCCTTTTAAGTCTCTCTTTTTTTCTTTTTTCAGACAGGGTCTTGCTGTGCAGTTCAGGCTGGTCTTTAACTCACTTTGCAGCCAAGGCTGGACTCAAACTCCATCCTCCTGCCTCAGCCTCCTGAGTGCTAGGATTGCAGTCATGCACCCCACACCTGGCTCCTAGGTCTCTTTTTAAAGAATAGCATAATACAGAAAAAAGATAGTATAATCTTCCTCCCTCTGGCTTGACTCTTATCTAATATTTGATCCATGAAGTAATCCCAGGAAATGCATGTTCAAAGACAAGATTCTGGAATTGGTTTAGGCACATATTTTGGCCTTAAATGCAGTGATGGAATCCTTGAGAAATGAGATGTCAGTAATAATAGCCTATGTTAAAGATGTGTGATAAATAAATTGGTCCACTGATTGGCTGAGCATAGTTCTGGGTGTGGATAATGGGAAGGCCCACCCTGGGCTCGGCTGACCCCATCCAGCAGGCTTGCAACATAGGATAAAAGACAAAAGGAAGCTGGAAGCTGCTGCTCACTGCTTCCTGCCTGCCCTACCATGGACTTATTCTCTGCCATGCCACCTGCCTTGGAGCTAGCAAACTATGGACTGAAACCGCTACAAATTGTGAGCTACAATAAACCTTTCCTTCTTCAACTTGTGAGTGTTGGATATTTTGTATAGCAACAAGAAAGTAACCAAGACAGATTTCAAGAAAAGTAACCAAGGCAGATTTTGGTTCTGAGAATGGGGACATTGCTGTGATACTACCTGGTCATGTGGTTCAAAAGCCTTTGGAACTGCTTTGTGGAAAGAGTTTGGAAAGCTTTGGAAATGCTGGCTGAAAAAGCAGCCCTGAAATGCTATAAGCTAAATTTGATGGAAGATTCTGGTCAGAGCTCAGTAGGCCAGAATGCTACAAAGGCTGTCTGTGATAGTCACCTGATTGTGTCAACTTGAGGAAGACATGCCCAACTAAAATGGATCAGCATAGTTCTGGGTGTGGCTGAGGGATTTACTGAAGACAGAGGACCCACCCTGGGTGTGAGTGGCACCAACCAGTAGACTTGTAGCCTGAGTGGAACAAAGGGGAAACAAAGAAGAACGGTTTGCTTGTTTCTTCAGAAGAGCTCCAGCCTTCATTACCTTGCATGCCATCTCCTGGCTTCTAGCATGGACTATCCAGCCTTCCAGTGCAGAGCCTCCACTTCCTGATACAGACTCGCATGGGACCCTACAGTGAGCTCGAGGCCTTTGACCTTTAACTGGATCCTTCAGAACTCCGGCACACAGACAGCCCTTTCATCCTCTTCCACACCTACCTCTGCAGGCAGCCACTGCAAGCCTACCTTGTAAATCCTTATATTTTTATATATCTTACATTATTAAATCTGTCTCTCTAGTGAGCACTGCCTGATACAGATTTTGGAACAGGAGTGGTACCAGAGAAACAGAATTGTAAAGAAATTCTTTAATGGCGTTTAGAGGCTCCTGGAGTTGGGCCTCAAATTTTATGAGACCCAAGGGTGCCATGGACTGTCCTTCTGATACTGTGGGGAGTCCTGATAGTCTTTAGTGTGAACTGTTTAAAGTAATACACAGTGAGGCTCCATTTCATTATTCCAGTTCACCACTTGTGAGGTGTAAGGAATTTAGCAACACCATGTATGATATTTTTTAATATTTTTGGCAGAATGGGAAATAGAATGCTG